ATAAGTATTGAATTCGCTGGTGGCATTATTATAACTTTTTTCTCTAGTGGCAAAAAAAAGCATAAAGTGAAGTTAAAACAGACAGCTTCAACTATTTGAAAAGGCTCTTTCTTAACTTAAAATCTGACTGCAATTTCATCTTCACTTTCTTCACAAAGAAATATAATGTGTAATAATATGTTCTATAGTCAAAAACATTGAATTATGATCCTTTTTCATTAGTATGAAGATCACTTAAAAAATTCTAGATCAGGAAAGAACATATCCATGCATTTAAAACTTTTTCCAATGGTATTCTGAATGCCAGTTTAACTAGTTGACAAAATAACGATTTGTTTGAATGCTGTTCTAATTATAGTAGAACTTCAGCGTTACGAACACCTTGGGAATGGAGGTGGTTCATAATTCTGAACAAAACATTATGGTGGTTTTTTCAAAAGTTTGCAGCTGAACATTGACTTAATACAGCTTTTAAACTTTACTATGCAGAAGAAAAACGCTGCTTTCCCTTTATATTTTTAGTAGCTTACTTTTAACACAGTACTGTATTTATTTTTTCTCTCTCTCTCTCTCTCTCCTGCTGTCTGATTGTGTAGTTGCGGTTCCAAATGGGATGTGTGGTTGACTAGTTAGTTCGTAACTCTGGTGTTTGTATCTACTGTACATGCCTTGCTGCCTTGTGGAATATATATCCTGACACATGGGCTGTATCTACCCTGGACTCTTTACTCCTGGGGGAATTCTGCGCCACTGCATGTGCGCAGAATTCATGTCCCCCCCACTGATTTCTTTGCTTCCCTGCAGAAAAATTACTTTCTGACGGAAGCAAAGGGAAGCTGCAAGAGCAGTCACGCACCACTCCCAAGCAGTGCAGGGACATTGTTTAAGGCACCTGGAGCATCCAGCGAAGAGGTAAATCACCGTGTGGCTGGGGACACCCCAGCCAGTGGTTCCTACCCTGAGCCAAGATCACCTGCTAGTCTCATCTGGGCTGGAGGCAGGAGAGGACGGGACTTTCTCTTCCCCTGCAAGAAGTTGCTAGGGCTATGTCAGATCCACCCCCAGAAACCTCCTCCAGCTGCAGGAAGCTCAGATCCTCCTGTTTCCTGTCCCTATTGCTCCTTAGCTGTGGGGGGAGGGGTCACTATACGGGGAGCTGCTCCCACATCCACCCAACCCCCGTGCAGCCGGACCTCCCATACCCAGACACCCCTGCCAAGCCTCACTCGGTACATCCAGAACTCCCCATGCCCTCTACACCTGAACCCCAGCCAGTGACCCTCAACCCCTGCATCTGGAGCCCCCCTGCACCCAGGCTCCCCTTCCTCTGGACTCCCACTCCTGCACCCAGACTGCCTCCCACCCCCTGCACCACCCTGAGCACCCACATACAGACCCCCACGCCACTGACCCCCAACTAGCTGCACCCAGACCCCTCAGCTGAGCCCCAGCCACCTTCACCTGGAAGCCCCTGTGGAGTCCCATTGCACCTGGAACTTCCCGCCCAACGAGCCTCTGTGCATCCAGATGGCCCTACACCTAGACCCCTCACACTTGGATCCTGTCTGGTTGAGTCTGCTTGCCCCACACCTGGTGTGCCTGGTGCAGAGGGGCAGGGCCCCAGGGTGTTTCTGGGGCAGGCCCAGGTCTTGTGCTGTGTCAGGGTTGGGTGCAGCCTCACCGCAGAGTCCGTGTCCCGGGGTGGAGGGGCTGCAGGGAGATCTCCCACTTTTGTGCAGCCATTGGCCTGTGCTCCCCACTGTCATGCTGCAGCCTCTGCATTTATTTACTGACAAATAAAACTTGTAGAATTTTAAAATATTGTGTAGAATTTTTAATTTTTTGGCGCAGAATTCCCTCAGGAGTAACTCTTTAGCAATGTTGACATTGGGTATCAAACACAGGTTTCTCCACCCCCTCAACCACAGTTGAACTCTCTTGACCCTGATCACACCAGCAGGGCAAAAGAGTTGAACATTTGGCTTTAACAAACCCTGCCTATCCATTTCATTCATATAGAAATTGGCGGTGATCCTTTTAAAATGGGTGCTAAACTGTTTATGTAGGTTCCAAACACAGGTTATAGTTATGCTATACTTGACAGTAGGATTATCAAAGCCAGTGGAATTCATAAACTGCACAAGCCGTCTACCTCTATTTATTGTTCTCTTCATAATTAAAAAAAAATCTAGACAATTAAATGCAAACATCTAGTGTTAAAATAATGTTATGGTTTTGGTTTCAAGCACACACAAGCTGGCAAGTTATATAGCTGATTGAGCACCATTAGCACTTTTTGCCCTGATGCTCCTGTGCAGTATTTTCTCTTCTCCCTTCCTTGTTAAATGTGTTAACGCTACTCTTTTTGTTATTAAAGAGTATCATAAAATATACAAGATGCGAAGTGTGGCTGAGGTACTGTTGTCACACAACCTTAATTTTGTGAACTTCTTCACTGAGGTCTTGCAAACTTAAGTTTACTTTTTGTATTTAACTTGTTATACAACTGACACATCTTGTGTGTAACAGTGATTTGGGTTAAAATACTGAACAGTTTTAGTAGCATGATTAAAAGTAGATGCAGTGTTCTTATGTTGGATTACTCTAATTTTATTGATACATATACAGATGATGGTCGCCTACTAAGTAGTGTGAAAAGTGAATGTTTTTCCTGAAATTCTGGTTTTGAGACTAGTGACTGTCATGGGTGTCACATGGCTATCCTAGTGAAATGTTGGTACTTCAGTAGCAGTAAGACGTTGGGGTTTTATTTTTTTAAAGCTTTCAGAAGTTGTTAGTGACTCTTAATTTTGCAAAATGTAGGGCCTCTTCCAAAGTTTTGTGAAGTCCATTGGAGTCTTTCCACTGACTTCAAAGGGTTTTGAATCAGGTCCTGAGGGCCATATTTTCAAGAGTTCAGCCCCAAGTTGCTGCCACTGAGAACAATGTACCATTTTACCTGCTTTTACTAAAATAAAAATTCCTTACATTTCTGGAAGGTTAAAAAGAAATACACAAACGTTTTATTGCTACTGAAAGTAGCAACGCATTTTACGAGGCTAATGTTTTCTGGCGTTAGTTTCCGGGATCACACAATCTTGAAATGAAAGATTACTATAATGTTATGAATCTAATGCAATGCTTAGTTATGTGCTCAGAGAGTTACAATACATACTGCTGAGTGAACTCAAAAATCCGGCTATATGTTTAAAGGTTTTGGTGTGTTCTGTTAGGCAAACTCTCTTGTTTTTAGAAATAAACGATGTGTATCCATGATCAAAAATATCTTCCCTTGAATAGCTTTTGTTTATATATGTTACAAGTTGAGCACTGTAAATTGGGACATCGCTGATTTCAACAGCAGTGATTGGTTTAAAGTTTTAAATTAACCATATTGATGCACATGCATGAGGAAACATGGGTTTATATTCTCAGACCATTCTCATTTATATTACATTCACTTGACACCAATCTAGCAGTATTTTTTGGTCTGTTTTAAGCAAAGGATAGTAAGTGTGTTAACATTCCCAAATGAAAACCTTCATCTTTCCGTGATTAACTGAAATCATGTTTTCTGCAAAATGTCAACATCTCAAAATCTGTATGTGATGAGATTTGTCAGTGTATATCGTGTACAAACAGGATTTCCAGTTTTTGCTTTGGTCAGGATTTAACCTAAAACGAGACACCCTGTATATTCCCAACAAACTGCTGTTGCCATTTTCTGTATATTGTAGCCACAGAGTCCTAAAATGCATCCTTTATTCACTGGTCCATTTAGGAAGCTACATTAGAGTGACAATGCAGTAGATGAGAAAAGTTTGTCAGATGAATGATGTCTTTAGTTGTCCTTTCTCATGCCTGAAAGAAAAGGGAGTTCTGTTTAAAGTGTGATCTGGTAATCTAATGGTATAAGTTCTGTAAGTAGCTGAAAAGCTGTAAGACTGAGAATAGAACTTGAAAGATAATGTTTGTATGACACGTTTAATAAAATCTTACCAACCAAATGTAAATGAATATCTGTTGTGAAATCACATCATCCTGGATCTTATAACTGAAAGATAATCAGGGCATGGCTACTCTACTGCAGCTACAGCTGTAGCACTGTAGTGTAGATACTCCCTCGTTGACAGTTGAGGTATTTCCATCAATGTAGTTTAATCCATTTCTCTGAGAGGTGGTAGCTAGATTGACTGAGAAGTTATTCCACTGACCTAGCTGTGTCTATACTGGGGATAAGGGTAACCTAACTGGTTTTCAGGGTGTGAAATTTTTCACAGCACTGAACAACATAGCTAGGTAGATCGAATTTTTAAGCATAAACCAGGTCTCAGTGGAGACTAGGACCAACCGTCCACCCAGAATTGTAGAGCTAGGTGGTATCAGCAGCCACGAGGGTAATAGTGTGGTGTAATACAGTACATTCCATGGGTGGCGTACCTGAGCCCTCTTATCCACTGATGCTTTAAAACTCCCACACCCCAATCTGGGTCTATGCTGGTTATGTGATCTGTATGTATCTCGTGATCTTTGTAACCGATACCTATAATCCCTCATAACTCAAGCCTGACTCCAGATGTACAGTACCTTCCCTCTTAACTTGTGTATATTTAATTTTACACATTAACTTTACATTAACTTTAATAAAATTCCTAACCAGCTAGTGCACTGACTCTGTGCTATGCTTTACCAATTGAAATTCTGAATACTGTGCGACAGAGAGGCAAAATGGTCTTGTGGCTAAAGCACAAGATTTGAGTTGGGACTTCTTCCATTTGTGATCCTGCTACTCACTTAGCCTCTCTGTGCTTCCCTTCACAGATTGTGGCAGAAATTTTGTGTACTTCTCATGCCGGTTGGGTGGCTTAATTCATTAATGTCTGTAAAGTGCTTTGAGCATCTCCCGTGGGCAGTGGTATAGAAATGAAATTTGGTGGTGGCAGTGGGTTTGTATATGGGGCAGTGCACCATTTGTTGACTTTCTTCCTGTTTTGTTGCAGCAGACTGATTACTGGCTAGACTTCATGAATAGAAGGTCCTGGGACTGTTAGACTCCCCAGCCCCCGCCCTTTCCACCATGGACCAGGATTATGAGAGACGTCTCCTGCGCCAGATCAACATCCAGAATGAAAACACAATGCCTTGTGTAAGTCAGCACATTTCCACTGTGCCTAATGATTCTCCTAGTGACTTACCCAGGTGCCCCTGCCCCTCCCCGCATCCCCCAACAAAGAACAGCCTTTATCCTGTGAGCTGTGTTGTGCTTTCTCTACTGTCCTTCAGACGGGCTATCTAGCTTCCTATATGAGTTACTTACTAGCATAGAGGCCTTTAGTTATAAACTAAACCAAACCTTTGACTGAAATGCTCTACTGTCTAAGTTTCTGAATTGTCCTGGGAAACAATTACTCAAACAACTTCTTAACTTGGCCAGATTTTATCAGCTAAAATTTGTTAAATCTCTGTATGTGTGTAATACTCAGAAGCCTAAGGGTGTTATAACATCTTTATTATTCAGTACTGGACATCAGGAAACTATATAATCTCATTAGGTACTACTGGAATATAGACAGTTGAATTTTTTTAAGCGAGCAAATCTTCTGAATGCTGGGGGTATACGATAGGTGGACTTTAGATGCACACCGATCGTCCAGCTTTTCTGCGGTGTTTTACGTCATAAGAGCAGAATAATGGCCATACTTGGTCAGATCAGTGGTCCCTCTAGCCCAGTATCCTGTCTTCTGATGCTGGCTAAGGCCAGATGCTTCAGAGGGAATAATCCAAACAGGGCAATTATCGAGTGATCCATCCCCAGTCATCCAGTCCCAGTATCTGGCAGTCAGAGGCTTAAAGCCATGTAGAACATAGGGTTACATCCCTGACCAGCTTGGCTAATAGGTCCATTCTTGGCTATCTTCCATCAACGTATCTAATTGAACCCAGTTATAGTTTTGGGCTTCACAGCATCTCGTGACAATGACTTCCACACGTTAACTGTGTGTTATGTGAAGTAATTCCCTTTTTTAAAAAAAACAAACAAACCTGCTGCCTATTAATTTTTGTCGGGTGACCCCTAGTTCTTGAGTTATGTGAATAACGCTTCCGTATTCACTTTCTCCACACCATTCATGATTTTATAGACCACTATCCTATCCCTCTTTAGTCATCTTTTCGAAGATAAACAGTCCCAGTCTTCTTAATCTCTCCTCATATGGAAGCTGATCCATATCCTTAATCATTTTTATTGCTCTTCTCTGTACGTTTTCCAATTGTAATATATCTTTGAGCTAGGCCAACTAGAACTACACTCAGTATTCAAGGTGTGGGCGTACCATGGATTTATATAGTGGCATTATGATATTATCGATCCCTTTCCTTAATGGTTCCGAACATTCTGTTATCTTTTTTGACTGCCACTGCAAACTGAGCAGGTGTTTTCAGAGAACTATCAATGATTTGATTACTCCAAGATCTTTCTTGATTGGTAACAGCTAATTTAGACCCCATCATTTTGTATGTATAGTTGGGATTATGTTTTCCAGTGTGCATTACTTCTCATTTATCAACATTGAATTTCATCTGCCATTTTGTTGCCCCATCACCCAGTTTTGTGAGGTCCCTTAGTTAAATCCAAAGAAAACTGTGAAGAATTATTATCTTGCGTAATTTTTTATAATCTGAAAACTTCGCCACCTCACTGTTTTTTGTTAAGATCATTTATGAATATGGTGATCAGCACTGATCCCAGTATGGTTCCTTGGGTGACCCCTCTGTTTACCTCTCTCCACTCTGAAAAGTGACCATTTATTCCTGCCCTCCGTTTCCTATATTTTAACCAGTTACTGAGCCATGAGAGAACCTTCCCTCTTGTCCCATGACAGCTTACTTTGCTTAAGAGCTTTTGGTGAGGGACCTTGTCAAAGGCTTTCTGAAAGTCCAAGTCCACTATATCCATTGGTTCACCCTTGTCCACATGTTTGTTGACCCCTCAAACAATTCTAATAGATTGGTGAGGCAAGTAAAATATTCTTCTGAAATCCTTTGGGAGAGACTGTGTTGTACCCCTTAGAGGCGTGGCCCAAGCATTGCATTTCAGTGGAGGGGGGGGGGTCAAAGGTTACTTTCATCCACCTTTTGTGCCTCCCAGATTTGGGGTGCCTCTGGGGCCTAAAATGGCAGCTGGGGTAAGTTAGGCTCAGCAGCTGGACCCAAGGGGCATTGTACGCTGTGGTGCCACCCTGAATCGCCATAGTGCTATGCCATGGTGCCCAGTATTGCCAGTTCTTGTAATTTTATTGTGAGACTTGTGATATTTGATGTGTTACTTAACACCCCTGCTCCTGGAGACAAGTGATTACATTAATCTTGGCTCATGTTTTTAAAAAGTAAGTTTCTCACTCTCATGTTTGCAGAGAAAAGCTTGAACACGTGTCTCAAACGCACCCAGAAGCACAAATTTTAATTTTATCAGATTTTTAAACCAATCTCATGTCTTTTGGACAGTTGGGGTTGGCAATACTTCCCCCTGTGGTGGGTCTTATAGGGAGGCCTGTAGCTTCCTTACACAACACCTGTGCTGAGAGAATTGTCCTCCAGCTAGCCCCTAGTGTGTTAAGGTCCTTGTATGCTGTGACATGGCCCCAAATTGCACGCCCTGTCTCTACGTGGATAGGCCTTCAAATCGTTACAAGCCTGTGACACAGTCTAATCCAGGGATCGGCAACCTTTGGCCCTCTGGTCGCCAGGGTAAGCACCCTGGCGGGCTGGGCCGGTTTGTTTTCCTGCCGCGTCCACAGGTTCGGCTGATCGTGGCTCCCACTGGGTGCGGTTCACAGCTCCAGGCCAATGGGAGCTGCTGGAAGCAGCAGCTAGCACATCCCTCGTCCCGCACTGCTTCCCGCAGCCCCCATTGGCCTGGAGCGATGAACCGCGGCCAGTGGAGCCGCGATCGGCCGAACTTGCGGATGTGGCAGGTAAACAAACCGGCCCAGCCCGCCAGGGTGCTTACCCTGGTGAGCCACGTGCCAAAGGTTGCCGATCCCTGGTCTAATCCATGTCATCCACTTATGTTGGTATTTCACTGTTCTTGCTTTCTTTGCCTTAGGTAAAGTGTGTAAATAGTCTAAAGACCGTGGTCTCTGATCTCCATATCTTACTGAGTCTTGGAACGCGTCCTCAGCTGACATGATGCACGTAAATGGCTTTTAACTGAAATAAAATTCCCACAGGAGGATTTGTATATTAGTTCTGGTCATATCTGCTACGAACTCCATAATATCTTTTGCCATTACTAAGATCTTAAAATACACACTTAACTGTAGTCCTGCAGAGATTCTACTTGATGTAATTGATTTAGGTTCAATGCTGAATTTAAATGACAGTTGATGCTGAATGCACACTGAAGGGATACTTCTGGGTTACACACGATATCTCTAGCAAAACCAAGAAATATAAAGGAGGTCCCTTTATTCACCCCCTACAAGAACATTAGCATTATGGAGAAAACAAACAAATGTTAGAAAATTAGGAAGTAGTGTTAAGGTGACCTTTTCCCACACAACACGGCAGCCATGACTCTGCTCCCATAGGAATGCCAAGAGGACTTGGAAGCATTGCTGTACTTATCTGACCTTAATAAAACCTGCTGTCTTCAGTGCGCACACACCCGCTCCAAACTCCTGTTCGTACGCTGCGGCGCCCTTGGCATACACGGCAGCAGCCTGGGTATGGCGGAGATCACACTGGCCAAAAGGCTTAGGGAGGAGCAAGGTACTGAGATCTCCCTGCGGGACTCTCAGGGGTCAACACCCCCCCGTTCTGGAAGGACAGAAAAAAGATCGGGCTGAGTGCCTGCAACCTTAACTAGCACATGTTTTGTGTGTGCGATATTCTTATAAGGTACAATACACTGTATGTTTATGTGAGGCCTGAATTGCTAATATTTGGGTCTTTCAGACCAACAGGGGAAGGGATTCCAGTCATGCCAATACTTCACAGTGCCCTGCCTCCAGCTGCCCAGATTTCAAACCTCAGGACCATTGGCAAGAGCATACCAGCTGATCTCCACTGTTGAGAGGGAGCATGTGGAGAGACAGGTTCTTTAAGTGCTCCTGTTAGCACTCGTCGGTGGGAATTGTGCCTGTGTAAGGAGTGCTTACTAGGGTTGTAAGGTGACAAACCGTGTGTTCTGTCATTCCAGGTTTATTTGGCCCTAATGAAAGCAGATTTCTGGAGTCTGCCTTTCAGAGCTCACTGTGATCCAACATTTTTCCTGCCTGGTTCTTGCAGTGTTTCTCCATATGTAACTTTTTAAACTTCAGGTAGTTGAGATGAGACGAACACTGACACCTTCCAACTCTCCAATGTCCTCCCCCAGTAAACATGGAGACCGTTTCATTCCCTCAAGAGCTGGGGCCAACTGGAGCATTAACTTCCACAGAATAAATGTGAGTATTACCCCCAAGTTACATAGCACAAGGTATTTTTCTTAGCAGGACGGGGGAGTTTGCACAGAGTTAAAGAAGTTTGTTTGGCAGGAAAACTACTTCAGAGGACTAGTAGAGTATTACCTTCCCCCTCCCCTCCCCACTGTTTCACCTTCTGCTCTCCATCTCTTTTGCTGCTTCACTATTTGATGCCTCAGCATCACAATCGATTGCTACAGATTTTTCAAGATGGTGGTGCTTTTCCCATTACTGTGGGGGGGAAGAAAAGTGAATTTTGTGAGATCTTTGTTTGCAGTGACTGGAGTGTTTGTTAGCATATATTTTCCCCCCTCTAGGAAAATGAAAAGTCACCAAGTCAAAACAGAAAAGCAAAGGATGCTACCTCAGACAATGGCAAAGGTAGATGTGTTTTGTACCACTTGTTCCTTTGGGTCTAGCTTTTGATTTGACACTGAAGTCATAGCATGGGCAACAGCAGTGCAAGCATCTCGCTTGCTGCCCTAGCTAATGGGCCACAGCCCTGACCTGGAGGCAGCATCACAAGGAATATAACTTGGTCTTCACATGAGTTGACGTACCCCCCTGCAAGACCACTGCGTACCCCGGTTGAGAACCACTAGCATAGGAGACTCTGCTCAAGAGCTCGTTTGTATGTTCGTACAGATGGCCTTGCTTACTCAGCCTTGCTAAAGAACGAACTGCTGGGAGCAGGGATTGAGAAAGTGCAGGACCCGCAGACAGAGGATAGGAGACTGCAGCCATCCACGCCAGAGAAGAAGAGCCTCTTCACGGTAAATTTGGCTAGCAATGCATCGGTCTGCATTGCTCATGCGAGAGGAGTTGGACACTCCTCAAATATGCTAGCAGGTGCATAGTGTAGTAGCTATATTAAGAAGTCTAGCCAAGGTTTAAAGTGAGTCGTCAATAGTATGGAATGACTGGTGTGGGTTGTATTAGTAACAAAATCCAGTGGACACTGTCTACTGACTCCACAGACAGCATGAAGAACTGCTGCTTGCTGCAGAAATCCTTCTTTCCTGAGTTATGACCGAGGGTTTGAAAGACTGTTTTGGAAAGGATGTGGGCAAGTTAACACATGGTCTTGATGTGTTCCCTAAATGAAGGAGATGTTTTGAGATTCAACAGAAATTAATTTCTCAGTATTGCTGTAGAGCAAGATTTAAAGGAATCTTTCAGGGAAGGAACTGTAAAGTAAAACACAGTGGGGCCACCACAATGCAGGGTTTTGGAGGGACCTCTGCCTAGGTAATGTATGTTAATTAATTACATTGTAGGTGATCTTGTAAACCTCTGGCACGTCAGGACCTGTACTGTGTGGGGTTTTTGTATCCAATGCTTTCTTCTTTGTGCAGTACTCGCTCAGCACCAAACGCTCCAGTCCAGATGATGGCAATGAGGTCTCCCCATATTCCCTGTCACCTGTCAGCAACAAAAGGTAATGCTGGCTACCTATGGGTGGGGAAAAATGGGGGCTGGGGTTCTTAAGGAGCTCTCTGACTAATGTTATAATTTGGTTGCTGTACAGCAGGGGTAGGCAACCTATGGCACACGTGCCGAAGGCGGCACGCGAGCTGATTTTTCAGTGGCACTCACACTGCCCGGGTCCTGGCCACCAGTCTGCATTTTAATTTAATTTTAAATGAAACTTCTTAAACATTTTAAAAACCTTATTTCCTTTACATACAACAATAGTTTAGTTATATTATAGACTTAGAGAAAGAAACCTTCTAAAAATGTTAAAATGTATGACTGGCACGCGAAACCTTAAATCAGAGTGACTAAATGAAGACTCGGCCCAGCACTTCTGAAAGGTTGCTGACCCCTGCTGTACAGCTATGGGATTTCAGGAGGGGAAGTAGGCAGCAGGAGTACTCAGACACCTAATGAGCAAGGATCTTGTCTCTGTGCAAACAGCCCTAGAAATACAGTAGATTCCACTTGTTAGCAACCTCTCAGTTCCCAGCAACTGCTGTTATTATCCAGAGGCTGCCGGTAAGCGAAAGGCAATGCCAGGGAAGGCAGTGCTGGGAGGGGAGGCTGTGGGCAGGGAATTGGAGGGGGGGGAGAAAGGTTTGTGAGGCTCTAGCCAGCACTGGGATATGCATTCCCATGCCGCAGCTCTCTAAACCTGCCTGTGGCTGGTGCTCGGCATGTCTCAGTGCTCTCTTCCCTGCCCCATCCCTGAAGGCAGGTTTGCAGGGCTATAGCCAGGGAAGGAAGCACTGGGACATGCCAAGCCTGGGCCTCTGGTACCAGGGCAGGGCACAGCCTGGAGAGCACAGTGGTACCGTGCAGCCCCTTGGACCCCCACGCTCCTGCTCCCATGAAAAGCCCGGCATCCTCCTCCCAAACAGCAGGCAGATTGGCAGGGCTGCAGCTGGAAAAGCATGTCAAAAGGCTGTCAAAAAGCAGCATGCCTGTTAGTATCTGAATCCCATTAACATTGTAGTCTAATGAGACAGGATTGGTTCCCAGCAAAATGTTGCTATTAACCAGAAGTTGTTAATATCAGGAGTGTTATTAAGTGGCCTCCCCTTTTTGGGCATGTGACTATGGTCACTGGAGGGGCCACACGGAGATCGCCTCAGTCAGGACAAACTGCAAAGGATGGGGCAGACGATGCCCAAAACTGATGGTTTATTCTTCTAATTAGATTCTCCAAGCCAGTAACAAAATAGCTTCTGTAATATCACACTGGTTACCCAGAAGCTGAAACACAGTTCCCCTTAAGCAATCCAGCCCTGGGCTCCCACCTGGACAGCCAAATCTAATATAGTGAGGATTACTTAAAATCTTATTCACTATATATAAAGTTCTACCAATCCCAAGAGACCAGACACATTACCCACCAGGTTAGTTAATACTTCAGATCTTACCCAAATACATTCTTACAGCCAATTCTTATTAATTAATTTAAGTTTTATTTAAAAAAAGAAGAGACAGAGTTGCTATGGTTAAAAGATCGTTATACGTACAGATATTATTCCTGGGGGAATTCTGCTCCCCCAAATTAAAAATTATGCGCACAATATTTTAAAATTCTGCATATTTTATTTGTCAAAATAACACAATATAATCACACTAGTTTCAATTATTTTTGGTCATTTATTTCAAAATACCTGTCAGCAAGTATGTGTGTAACAATACAGACAACAAAAGAGAGTCAGGAAATGTTTTTTGAAAAATAGATTCCTTACTAGGCATATTAATACAGAACTCTGAGTAGTAATTCATTTAAACTACAATACTGAACTGTATTTCCCGCACCCCTCAGAAGCAGTGCAAAGGCTTAGGGGAGTTAGGGATAACGGAGTAGCTAAGAGAGAGGGAAGTAAATTGCTGGGAAGGAGCCTGGGTGTGAACTTGGAGGGTTGTTGGGTATGGGTGGGAAAAGTATGGAACAGGTTTTTTGTGGGGGGGCAAGGAGGGATTGTTAGGGAGCTTCCCCCATATAGACCCTGGCTGACTCCTAGCCTCTCCCATTCAGTCAGGCACATCTGCCCCTGTCCCATGTGTTCCTGCACCTCCTGTCCACGTGTCCCTCCCTCCCCAGTGGCCCTGTGCCTCCACTCCCATTCAGCCCCTGCCCCAGTCTGTCCTCTCCCATTAGCCCTTATGAATTTGTTCAAATTCTTCCATGAGAATTTGTAAGGATAGTCCAGGGCACACCTGGAGACCTCAGTCTTGTGACTTGAACATCCCCTGACGAAGTTTGAGCAGATCTGAGATAAAAAGTTTCAGGCCCTAGAGTTTTTATAGTTTTCTAGCAGGCTACGGTAGCATCTTGACAGCAAACATCACAGCAGGCATTCTTGGGTGAAGGATAGACAATACCTATTGTTGCTTTGAAGTAAATCTCTATTCCTTAGTCACACACTAGTAACTAGCTGCATTCATTAGCATAAGGTAATTAACCATTCAAGCAGTTCATAGACAGTCTGTCTACCTTTCTCTTTGAAGTTTGTAGTAATGATATTAGTACACCGCAATTTTCCTCTGAATGTTAACATTCCTTTTTGATCTCTGAATCAATAGAATATAGTAACAACCGGAACAGAAGTTTATTATCTACAAGCTAATTAGATCACATTGATAAAGTTAACAGATATAGGTAAACACAGACAAATACAGTTAGTATCTACTTCTAATTCTCTGACAATATAGGTTTACATTTCAAAAAATTAAGGCTATTTCCACGCTCCTGACCGACAAAAGTGCTAGTGTAGACAAAGCCTAAATCTACTTAACGTGGCTTTGATAACGATCTACAAGAAATAGCCCTGTTTACCATTTCAATACTCCTCTAATGTGTTATTAAAGATTGATTTTGGGTCACTTAGCCTGCTGATTGCTTAACCCTCACTGGCTCAGTGTCACAGGGTAGCTTTCCTCTTTTTCATTTTGTGCCCATTACTTCCCTCTAGCTGCTCGCCTCAGGAGGGTGGCAGCACTGAAGGAACAGTGCTATCTCTTTCAATCTCTACATTTCTGTAGAAAGGCAGTGATCAAAACAGTAGGAATTTCTCTAAATCTCTTTGTACCTTCAAAGCCTCATAAAACAATCACGTCTCTATTTGTGTGAACAGTCAGAAATTGCTAAGATCACCTCGAAAACCAACAAGAAAAATCTCCAAGATTCCTTTCAAAGTGCTGGATGCTCCAGAGCTGCAGGATGACTTCTACCTGAACCTAGTGGACTGGTCTTCTCTCAATGTTCTCAGTGTTGGCCTCGGTACCTGTGTTTACCTATGGAGTGCTTGTACTAGCCAGGTAAGGCATGGCCCTTTCTTTGGTGCTATGGGAGAAAGTAAAATGGACTGCGGGTCAGTTGGATCAGCCTTTGTGTTTCATATTCTGCTGCAGTACTCTTTCCAGTACCCTGGAATGTACCATCTGTGCGGTGCAATGTACTAGTGCTCTTAGTTCCAAATACCTAATCTGCTAGGCAACTAATCTCCTAGTATGCTTCTTTAGTCCTAATTTCCATCTTATTTCCTAATTTTCAAGGTGACCCGGTTGTGTGATCTGTCTGTGGAAGGCGATTCTGTGACATCAGTGGGCTGGTCAGAACGGGTCAGTATAATACTACCACACAGACCGTTAGGACATTCTTTTCAGAGATGCTGAGCAACCAAAGCTCCTGTTAACTTCAGTTGCATTTGTAAGAACTCAACATTTCAGAACATCTGATCCTCCGTATGTCCCTAGAGACACTCCTTAGCTGATAGGAATACACGTCTCACGCTGGAGTGAGAACCACCTAGATTAAGGCTAGGTCTACACTACCCACCTGAATCGGCGGGTAGAAATCGATCTCTCGGGGATCGAATTATCGCGTCTCGTCGGGACGCGACAATCGATCCCCGAATCGACGCACTTACTCCACCAGCGGAGGTAGGAGTAAGCACTGTCGACGGGGAGCCGCGGAGGTCGATTTTGCCGCCGTCCTCACAGCGGGGTAAGTCGGCTCCGATACATCGAATTCAGCTACGCTATTCGCGTAGCTGAATTTGCGTATCTTAAATCGACCCCCCCCCTGTAGTGAAGACCTGCACTAAGTTCAGTGAGCAACACATGACCTCAATCAAGATACCGAAGACCATTTCTCTCTACTTTTTTGTTAAAGCCTATGATGTATGCACTTGAGGTGTGTTCCTCCAGACCCTCCATCCCCTCCAAAAAAAAAAAAAAAAGAACCCTGCCTACATCGCGGTAGCGGGGGGGGATGCGGGCTCGGCTGTGAGAGTATAGCTGCCTCCGACGTTGACCACAAATATATCTGTCTGTGAGCAAGCCGTGCCCTTGTACACCCTGTGCCACTGCTGCAGTGCAGCTCCCTGGCAGTGCTCTTAGAACGAGGTTACGGGCTACTGCTTGTTCTGGAGAGATGCTCTGCATGAACTCATGTGCTTAGTGTCTTTGCTCTAATTACTCTCCGTATTCCTATCATGCCAGTTTTGTCTTCCTCGTTCCAGGGAAGGCTTGGGGTAAAAGAGCCCAGCATCCTGCTAAAAAAGCCTTTTGTGAGGCAGAACCCCCAGGTGCTCTGTTTGATGTTCTGTGTAGTGCCATGAAATCCTGCCTGGCTGGTTGGTTGAGGCCAAAGTGATGTATCCCATTGCAAAGGAATTCAGCAACATCCCCCATCCTGTTTAAACCAATAGCTTGTGGACAGGTATTCGCTGTCCCTTTAGCAAGCACTCACATGGAGTTGAGTGGAAGACAAGGAGTCAAGACTGCCTCCTGGGTTCTGTTTCCAACTCTGCCAATAGCTTCACTGTATGATGTTGGGCAAGTCACTTAATGCATGTGCCTCAGTTTACCCTATCTGTTAAAACATCTTGGGGTCTGGGGGTGTGTAAAAAAGATGTAATTAGGTAATGATTATAAAAATCTTAGAGGGCCTTGGGAAAAAGGTGCTCTATAAAGAAGTGCCAATATTATCTATCTTTAAAAGGATCTATTGATACTTTTCAGTTTTCATTTCTACAGTAGATCTTCTTTTAATAGTTGTGTGTTGAAGACGCAATTTCTGCAATACCTTATTCAACTCATTGCTGATTAACAGATGGAGTTCCTTTGAGCAGGCCAGATCTTACAAGATGTGTAATCTCCAGAGATGATACTCCTCCCCCTCCCTTTGCCTTTTAGGGACTGAGGGCTGGTCTTCACTATGGGGAGATTGACACTGCTGCAATTGATGCAGCAGGGATCGATTTAGAGGGTCTAGCGAAGACCTGCTAAATCGACGGCAGAGCGCTCTTCAGTCGATCCCGGGAGTAAGGGAAGTCAACCGGAGAGCGTCTCCTGTCGACACAGCACAGTGAAGACACCGGGGTAAGTCGACCTAAGGTACATCGACTCCAGCTACATTATTCACATAGCTGGAGTAGCGTTACTTAGGTCAACTTACCCCTGTAGTGAAGACAAGCCCTCAGAATCTGTTGTGCGGCTCTTGGATCTCTTTATAGACTCATAGACTTTAAGGTCAGAAGGGACCATTATGGTCATCTAGTCTGACCTCCCGCATGATGCAGGCCACAAAAGATGGTTTGTACGTTTAATTACTGACTTTATTGATTGCACGTTTTCTTTTTGTGTATTTAGGGGAACCTGGTAGCAGTTGGAACTCACAAGGGCTTTGTACAGATCTGGGACGCAGCTGCAGGGAAGAAATTATCCATGCTTGAGGGTCACACAGCCAGAGTGGGTAAGGAAGAACAGGAAGCAAGAGGGCTGAAGTTTACCATTTGAAAATGGCATTTGCTAACGTAGAAGAGGGATCCCTTAAGGCCATGTTAATAGTGCAGTATTGCTATCATTTATGATCCAAAAGGGAGTGTGGGAATGGTCACTCCACCCCCACACACCACTCCTTCCCCAAGCCTTCTATGAAATAGCTTTTTTTTTTTTTTTTTTTTTTTTTGAGTCCTTTTAAATTGCACTGGCCTGCTCTTGGGGGTGGTGATACTATGAATCATCGCCACATACAGTTGTGGAGGGTGTTGTGTGATGAGGCATCCTAGGTGTGTCCTGTTAATGCACCTTGTTGAAACCAATGACATTCAACCCTCCAGGCTGGCTGCTTGAGGATTCCAGTTCATCCTGCTTTTCAGGGACTAGCTTTTACAAGTAGGCAGTGTGAATTGGTGACCGTGTCAGGGGTTGGGAGTCGAGACACCTCATGAGTTCTGATGACCTCACGCAAGTTGTTACACCACTTGTGCCTCAGTTTACCCAGCTGTAAAGTGGGTGTAATATGAACTCCCATAGGGTTTGTGTATGTAAAAAGCTTTTTGATCTTCCAACAAAAGTTGCTCAAGACAAGATTTGTTTAGTCCTCCTCTGGTTATAGTGGCTTGATACTTACCCCCAGGAATCCTGCACTGACAGCTGCCTGGAATTCTCACTCTGTTCCTTTGCCTGCATTACAGGTGCTTTGGCATGGAATGCAGACCAGCTTTCTTCCGGCAGTCGGGACAGAATGATCCTTCAGAGAGACATTCGGACCCCCCCACTACAGTCTGAGCGACGGCTTCAGGGCCACAGGCAGGAAGTGTGTGGGCTGAAGTGGTCCACAGACCACCAACTCCTAGCGTCGGGTGGCAATGATAACAAGGTATAGTACTGATTGCTGTGGGTGTGGGCCTTGGCCTCATCTCTGAACCTGCACTCCCAATCTTAAAAGTTGCCTTCTTTCAAAGATATGTCAACTTTTAATTCCAGCCTTTCTGAAAATGCCTTTTTGTTACTAACGAGGCGACTGACAGACCATTCTCTCCCCCCCCCCCCCCCCCCCAATGTGGCTAAACTAGACTATTCTACAACTTTCTAGTGTCCGTCTTAGGTAAAAATTAATAGGGCAGCTTAACTATGCTTTGTTGTTCCTAATGTGCTTGGGTATCTACACCTGTATGTTTGGCCTGAAGGATGTTAGATTTCAGTGAAGCTGGTTTAAACGGTCTCCACTTAAACATGAAGTTAGGCAGTGTGCAGTGAAGGAAGTTTTCACAGTTTTAAATAACTTAGTTGACACTGAAATTCCCTTCTGCGTGTTTGTTTTGTTTTAACAGGCACAGCTCAGGTTTGCTATTTACCAGAGAACAAAGAATGGTTACATATGGTACCAAGAACAATTCTGAGAGCACCTTGGGATAGATTCCTGCACAATTAACTCCCCAGACATTGGTGTGATGGAAGATAGTGTCCCAAGCTCTTGCAACTTCTACTCTCATTCACGGAGGGGGTGGGGGGGGGGAGAACAGATTTCCAAAATTTTTGATTATGGCTGGATTATTCACAAAGTCTTTCATGTCAAGAGACCAGAGTTCAAGCACTGCACATAGCCCAAGTGACACGAGTTTGTAGATCTTACTCTAGCCCCAAATTGCAAAAGGACCCCTGAGTTGAGCAGGTTTGGCTGTCCCTGAGGGAGAGGCCCCAGTACAGGAATCGCTAAGATGGAGGTGCATTGGCTGAGCCGTGCAGGGCAAGCTTCACCAGGCTGGGCTTTAGCTGGTGCTGTCTCCTCGGTTTGGGGAGCAGAGGTTGGAGTTGTGTTAATTAGTCTTGTTTCTTCTCTCCACCAGCTCCTTGTGTGGAATCATTCCAGCTTGAGTCCTGTCCAGCAATATACAGAGCACCTAGCAGCAGTGAAAGCTATTGCGTGGTCTCCACATCAGCATGGTCTGTTGGCCTCGGGTGGTGGGACAGCTGACCGCTGCATTCGGTTCTGGAACACTCTAACCGGGCAGCCCTTGCAGTGCATTGATACTGGGTCACAAGTGTGCAATCTGGCTTGGTCTAAACATGCCAATGAACTAGTAAGTTGAACCAGGGGGTTGGAGTCCTGCTGCTGAGCTTTCATGGATCAGGAACTGTCAGCACTGACTCTTTCTTGTAATTCTTGTGTCTTCCCCCTACAGGTGAGTACCCATGGATACTCGCAGAACCAGATTCTCGTCTGGAAATATCCCTCATTAACCCAAGTAGCAAAACTAACAGGGCATTCGTACAGAGTCTTATACCTGGTAAGCTATAACCCAGGCGTAGGCAACCTATGGCACGCGTGCTGAAGGTGGCACGCGAGCTGATTTTCAGTGGCACTCACACTGCCTGGGTCCTGGCCACCGGTCCAGGGAGCTTGGCATTTTAATTTAATTTTAAATGAAGTTTCTTAAACATTTTAAAAACCTTATTTACTTTACATACAATAGTTTAGTTATATATTATAGACTTATAGAAAGAGATCTTCTAAAAACGTTAAAATGTATTACTGGCACGCAAAACCTTAAATTAGAGTGACTAAATGAAGACTCGGCACACCACTTCTGAAAGGTTGCCGACCCCTGCTATAACCCATGCCCTTTGCTTAGTGATCTCCTATTGCTTCTGGTTCTGCTGCGACTGGGCTGTGCACGGAGACAGAACCCAAACTGGCTAGTACTGGGATCCCCTGGTTCCTTGCTATCCAGGGTTTGGTCCGTGAAACAAACAAGACTAAGCATCACTACACTCAACAGGAGCATTGGGATCTGGCTGTCCCTGCTTGCTGACACTGGCGTGAGGATTCTTCTGCACCACGTGACAAAAAGTGACACAAATTAACCTTTGGACAAGCGCCAGGTTGTCAAACTCCAACTCCTCTCACTTCTGAGGAGCACAGCTACCTGGTACAGCAAACCGAGCTCAAGGGAAATTTGTAAAAGCCGAAAGTTTCTTCAGAGTTAGAAAGTTTTTAATCCTTCCCCTTATTCCACCTGCTGTTTTTCCTCTTCATGGTTGTGCATTAAAACCATCCAGTCCTGTTTTAATCCAGTTCCATCTCTTGATCGCTGCGTCACTTATCTGGTGGGGAAGCTTCAGCACAGAATGGGATCAGCTGAGCCTGTCTCATACTGTTCTAGACACTGTGGCTAGTTCATTTGTTAACAATGTGTAGGGTGATGTTGGCTTCTTAACAGCTTACTTCTGGCTTTATAAAGAGAGGTGCGATTCCAGAGATAATGTGAAGGACGCTTATGTATCTGTAGCAGCATAAACTAAGACTTGTTTCCAAAATTCTGCATCTTACCTGTGGCAGTGGTGACAAGGCAGGAGGAAAGCAAAGGCAGCTGGGCCTGGTTTACCTCCATTAGAGAGAAGGTGAAGGGAATTGAACATTTGTATTCTGCTGGGGGGGAGGCCTCCATTTTAAACTACCGTTTAGCAACATTGGAACATGTATTTTGAAGCCTGTTTGTGCTTTTGTTTTCTCTCTTGCCTTAGGCAATGTCTCCTGATGGGGAGGCCATAGTTACAGGAGCAGGAGATGAAACCCTGAGGTTCTGGAATGTCTTCAGCAAAACCCGCTCAACAAAGGTAAACTCGCTCGTGTATGTGGATAGTTAGTTCCTCTTTCTGCGGCAGGTGCTGCCCAGTGCGGGAGAGGCCTCTAGGAGGGAGGCTGTGGATCTTCTATCCAGCTCTAGTCACTTGCTGTGTGACCTTGGACAGTCACTTCACTGCTTTTGTATTCCTCCACTTACCTATGTGTACAATGATCATACACCCAATACTTCTCTCTTAGCAGCTGGGGGGATTAAGTCTTGATCAAAGGCTAAGGGGTTTGTGATCCTCACTTGAAAGTAGTGATTTATGAGGCCTTCTCTGTGCACAGAATAAGTAAAGTAACTAGTACAACTAAACGCCATCGGTCTCCATTTAAGGCTGGGTGTCGCATTCTTAAGATTGAACCATTGGTAGTTATGCTGGTGCCATGCCACACCACACCACTCGTTTTAAGTAGCAGTGGTGTAGGGTGTCCACCTTTGCCTGTTCCTTCCTAGCATTTTAATACACTGTTGCAGTGTCATTTGTATACATATTCTTCAGTTCTGGCACAATGGCTTTAGGAGACAGGATCAAACTCCCTTAAGTCCCTGAGAACTGTCACTATTCTAGAGTTGACTTAACAGTAGGGGTGAGCAAAAAGTTTCTGCGGGGCTTTTTTTGAAAAGTAGTCTCAAGGCATCTTGAGCAGATGTGGAGAGACAGCAGAGGTGGCCAGGAACCAAGATATCATGTGGAGGGACCACGGAGAGACAGAGACCAGCAGTTATTGGATTGATTGGCAGTCTCTTCATCTGGTTTCTGGTGGCTCTACTGTAGGACATACGCAGCAGTCCCTGTTTCACAGAAACTTGTACTGCAAAACTAGCCCATACCATCTTCTGCCATGCTCACACTCCCCATGGACCCCGTATACATGCATGGGCACAGGAAGGTTGATCTCTGACCAACATCAAACTTGGGGATGCTTATGAAGCTTTGCCCTTTAATGTCACGCAAGCCCCAGACCATTTCCATAGGCATGGTTTGCTTCGAGCCCTGGCTTCATGGCAGAAATGAATGTGTGTGGGATAGGGCTCAGGCAGTGTGATGGAGCTGTCTGCGCTCAACTCATTTTCTCAGTGAATATTTAGAGTGGGGATCTTGGGTTCAAAACTTTTCTCTTCATTTTTTTTCAGGAGTCTGTGTCTGTTCTGAATCTCTTCACCAGGATACGGTAAACCCCGTACTTGCACACCAGGAGACCCCGGTACAAAGTGCCAGGAGAAAACCACAAACTTGGCGTGCATGGACCCTCTCACTGTCAACCAGAAGAGGGGAAGGGGAGTGCCAGTGGGTTTGGAGGATGGACTTTCAAGATTCTTCTAAATACATGATTGCGAACCATATTGGACAGTATTTGGGGTGGGGCTGGGAGGGTGATGCAACTATCAAAGGGTTAAGAATTCATTCTTCATAAAGGGGAACAGGTGCAAGAGGGAAAAACTAAAGTATCTAATTTTATATATTGGGTAGAACTTGTGTGATATGGACCATGATAAGGAAGACTAGGCCAAGGGCATCCCAACTGCTGCTTTGTAACCTCTGTGAGAGATGAGTGGATTTGTTTGTGAGGAGGGGTTTGGAATGCTGCTCTGGGTTCTTCATTCTCTGATTTGACACACTTCTTCGGAAGCCAGAGTTAGCCAGACTTGATCAAATTTTACTGCTGGGAGAGGACAAAAGTTAGAGCTGGGAAGAAGCCTCTCGCATGTAGAATGGGTATTGTTTGCTTGGGACTAATATTCCAAGTAGAAAAAAGGAGAACTGCTTATTTTCCTCAGACACACAGTTTTCTCTTCCGTTTAAAACCATGACTAATATTTGACATGGACATTCACCTAAGAGTTTAATTTTCAGCACACTTAGTATCTGGCTAAAATAATGGAGCTGAGAATTTTTTTAAAAGATTTTAACAGCAGCTGCCTCTTCTGAAGGAAAGATTACTGCACGATCCAAAGAGATGATTATTTTTTTAAAAAGAATTATTGATATTACACATTCAAAGCTGGTCTAAGACTTTTAGTTTAATGGGGAAACAATGGCTTTTTTTTTAAAGACCCAGGAGTATTTATTTAGAGCTTTATGCTGTGCCAATTATTGCAGACTGATTGCTGCAGTGTCTTTATGAGGACAAAAGCAGTTGAGATGGATTTAGAAAGAGAGACTATTGTGGATCTGTTTTCAAAGACAAAGGTTCTTTAAGATTGTTGCCTGTCTTCCACATGGGACGGAAGAAACATCATGTGTTTGTAAGTCTGTGTGCAAGGTATTTTAGGCAAGGGCAAAGTGTTGCTTTTTTTTTTTTTTTTTAACTTCAATTAGGTCACAGCCAGAGGCCCATTTTTAAGTTTCAGGAAGAGAGAGATCCTGCCAGTTTGTTGGAATAATGCAGTGAGGTGTGATGCTAAGCACTTGTGTGTGTGTGTGTGTGTGTGTGTGTGTGTGTGTGTGTCTTGCTTTTAATTTAAAGAGAAGCTGTTATGCTTGCAGCAGCCAGTTCCTGTCTACTTTGTACCTGTGCCAATGCTCGCCTGCTGTGCATCTGGCCCCTCGCCTCCTTTTGTAAAATGTTTGGATGTAAGTTCTGTCTCTTCTCTTGGCTATTGTGTATATAGACCTTGTCCTGTTGTACATAGTGTGTAGGCAGATACCTTCTTGCGAAACCAGCCTGCCCAGGTTGGGGGGGGGGAAGGGGGGGAGGGAAGGTGTGGGAGACAGCTGCTTCTCTAGAGCAGCAGCGACCCCTTTAGAAAGGGCAAATTTCAGGTAGCAAGTCTGGCAAAGAGAATTGCTATGAACTGTGATTCCATTTCACTACAGCCTTGACCAAGTGTGCCATTTACAGCTAACGCGTGGATGTTGGTCTCTGGGTACTAGGAGTGCTTCTCAACATGGTGTTCCGTAGCAAAGCTGACGGCATTGGAGCTCTTGAAGCCAAAAATGGGACCTGACTAGTCCCGCCGCCCCCTTCCCACGCTCCTCCAAAAAACCATTTCAGCACAGATCTGCTTTACTCTGGTTCTCTCCACAAAATTCCAAGGCACTGTAAACATGGTCTGCAATGGTCTCCTGATTCCTCTATTGCTGCTTGTTCCATGTTTGGCATCCTGATCCGTCACCTCACTAAAGCACTAAGGAATTGGTAACCTGTCAGATCATTAAGTCAGGCAAGCATGTCTGAATTAAAGGCATCACTTGTAGTGAAACATGGTCTGTAACGGGTGCCTGTTCCACCCCCTGGGGCAATTATGATGGAGAAAGGACCAGAGGAAAGTAATGCATGTCTTAAGTCAGAGACTGGAAGGAGGAGGAATATGGCTGCAAGTTACTTCTGTGGCTTAGTTTCTCATTTGCGATCTGTGCTTTGGGATAACTGTTCCCCAGTCCCCTAGCTCAATGTCCAAACCACCCACAAAACATTTTCCTCCTGGGAAAAATCTGTAAATGGAGGGAAACAAGGAAACCATCCCTGAAAGGGGAGTAAATTTGTCTCTGCTCAAGTTGTGTAAGTGTCCACCTAATGAGGAGGAAAACGCGGAAAGTGTCTTGTGTGGAAGAAAGGTGGAAAGTCTGATGGTGTGTGCAGGGATGGCTAGGGGCCGGGAAGGAGTGGTACAGGCTAGGTTGTGCAGTGGTCCTGGTAACTATCCTGACAGTAATCCCCTCTGCCCGCCCCAATACCACACACTGGAGAGGAGCAAGCTTTCCTGTTTGTCAGGCGCGTGATCAGCCTAGGCATGTGCGCCCTACATCAGAGAGCCACCCTTGCTGAGGCAACTGGTAAAAGGAACATTCGAACTCAGGGTAAGACAAGCTTTGCTTTTTCTTGGGGAGGGTTTGCTTTGGAAAGGAGAGGGGAGCAGACAGTCCTCTTCCTTTAGGCCTGCAGTGTTGGGTTTGGTTTTGAAGTAATCCCCAGAGTGGAGGGAGGAAATACCACAGAGAAATCTAGATGCTCTGGAGTCTGTGCTGCAGTTACGCATGGGAGCTTTCTTGTGTGTCGCACTGAAATCTCAAGCAGAGAATTGCATTCGACAGAGCATCCTTCTATACGCTCAGTTTGTCATTCTCTGCTTCTAACAGCATTATTTCTGTCGCACTGTTTCAGAACGATCCCGTTCCTAATCCTCCCTCTGCTCGGAAGGCTGGGCAGGACAGGTTACTTTGTGTTCCTACTGTTCTGCTTAGCAGGGATGAGTAGTTGATTCCCGATCCCATAGCTGGTTTATGGTTGAGTGTATTGGCTACCTGGCTGGAGGGGTGGTGGGAGAGCAATGTTAAAAACGGTCTTTAGTGGATATAAAAAAAAATACCAGCACAAATTCCTTGTTTCCTGTGCAGTTGCCAAAGGAGGTAGTTTGCTGGGGCTAGTGGAGTGTCCTCAAAAGGTATCTTTCGGGGGGGAGGGGGTGCTGGGGGTGTTTGTGTCTAGAATCTCATGTATGCAACTCGTGTGAAGCGATTGGCTGTCTGGAGTGTGCTCAATAGTATTGTAAATGGAAAAAGAAAAACTTGCGTACACTTATTTCAATGTATGAACCATAACATTTCTGACTTGTACAGTTCAGGCAGTTTGCAAGGTCTCCCCAGAGTTTATGCAGGTAAATTCTAAGAACTTGTGGCATTGTTACATATAAAGCATCATATGGTGGGGAAAAAAAAAATAGAGAGACCATTGTAACTTTTCATGTAAAGCAATGTAACTGGCATTAAATACATTGTGAATTTAAGCCTGGTGTCACTTTGTTTAAAGCTTCACATGAAACTCGTGAGTGATGTGCTTTAAAGTGCTGTGTGGATCCTGTGCTCAAGTACATGATCGTGCCCTTCGCCCACACAGCCGCGTTGACTTCACTGGGGCGAGGGTCTGATTTGGAGAAGCAGGGCCAGAGGGAAAGTGACTGTGTAAATATGAAGCTCCAGGTCACTTTTCAAACTGTTCTATTCCAAACCATTTTCATTAATTTACAAATCAAGTGATGTTTTGTCCTCTCTTCCCCCCCCCCCCCCCCAAAAAAAACCCCCACCCCAAACAAATAACAAAAAACCTCCCAATGCTGTGATCTGAAAATCCGGCTAAGGATTCTGGAGCTGGCTGACAGTTTTTAATGATGTGCAAACCAGGATAGAATCTGTCTTGCTCCATTCCCTTCTCCCATGGCTGTGATGGCTTCTATTGCCCTAATAAGATTTCTCAGAGCATTGGGTTTGATTGAGCCAGTAAAGCCAGTTGATGCAAGTCACATGGAGGGAACTGGTATGTTGACTAGCCTGCCAGTCTTAGTCTCTTGTTCTTACTGTGAATGCTCTTATGCATGTAGACCTGGGACCCATCCATTTAGCATTTGTCAGCACTGTTAAGCAGATACAAACCTTGCCTCTCAGATCTGACAGCTACCTACACTGCTAATGAACTGGACTCTTATTGTACAGACTTATACAAATCCCAGATTGTTGGCTATCGCTGAAGATTAAACACGTTTCTCACAAAAGCATGGCTTTGGGATGCTAGAACAGAACATGAGACATTATCGTCCCAGCCACTAAATGAGTGGCTGGGACAGCGGAAGCTATTTTACTGACTAAATGATGTCAGTAATGATACCCTGAACTTTGCCTGGGCCACTCCTTCCACTGGACGCACTTCTGGCCTGGTGACTTCTGGCTCCCATGTTTTATTCCCCTGGAGAATCCAGGCCAGAGAATCTACAGCAGGGGTCTGAGGCTAAAGACTCAGGATGGGTCATGTCTGTTCTTCTCTCCTCCCCCCTCCCCTAAATCGTCTTAAACAGCAACAAGTTTTTGAATAAAAAATGGGGGCCAGGATGGCAAGGAGCATGTTCTGCAATTGGATCCCTGAGTGTGTGTCACTGACTCACAGATCGTGCCCACTCTTGGCCCCATGCGGTCCGTGGGTGGTGCCCCTTTCAGTGAGACAGCCTTTCGGGGGGATCCGCTCTCTCTCGGGGTCAGGCCCCTCCACCTCCTGGAGCCGCACATCTCGGAGCCCTAGCACACCTGTTTCTCGCCGTGGGCCCCCTCAGGGAGTCCACTCGCTCTGGACCCCCTGGGCCTCCACCCCTAAAGGGGTTGATGCCACCCTGTTCTCTAGACCGGAGTGACTCTCAGCCAGCATAAAACAGGAGGATTTATTGAGAGTTGAACACAGCACAGGAAACTCTCAGGGCCTCAGGCCTGGCCTCCCTCAGCCCAGCACATCCCAGTCTCTCTGCATCCAGGTGGGCTCTGCCTGCTCCCCCACTCCAGCCCAGAGCCCCCCTGCTCCCAGCTGGGCATCTGAGATCACCGGCCCCAGGCCCCACCTCTGTCCATTGTCTTCTCTCCAGGTAAATGGTCATAAACCGGGGCCTCCTCTCCTCGCTTCTGTCCTCTGGCTGGAACCGGCTGGTTAGGTCACTGGGTCCTCACTCTGCAGCCCATTGTCCGCCCACTGGCCAGAACCGGCTACGTCTCCTCAGCTGGGCCTCCGGGTCGCCAGGTCACCGGTCACTGGTCCGGCCATCGGCTGGGTCCACAAATCCTCTCTCCGGTCCTCTGTAAAACACACTCCCTCTCCCCTCACCTCGTTAAACCAGTAATACCCAGGGAAACTGAGTCTCACCCCCTCCGCATGCAAACCATTGAAACTCCACAGAAAACAAGAAAACCCCCCACTTCGTCACAGTGTGCATCCCCAAGCAGCATGTGTATTGGAAGGTGTGCTGGGGCCAGCCCTTGGGCCTGATTGAGCTCCTGCAATTGCCTGTGATCTCCGTAGAGCGGGGTAGTCAATTCTTTTTTGTCAAGGTCCAAATTTCTTGATCAAGATGTAGTCAAGTTCTGGACTCCCAGAGAAACACAAGTGCCCCTGTTCAACACATACAATGCTGTGAAATATACCCAGGGCCTATATTGCTTACATTTTTACTGCATTAAGTGTAAAATAAAATCAAACCACTGTATAACCTAAAAATAACCTCCAAGAAAGATGTAATTTATCTGAGACTTTGAGAAAGTACTTAATATTTGCATGTTTGACATTTTATTTAGCATTAAAAACTCTTTCAGACAACTGTTTCAAGTTTTGAATGAGTTTTGTCAAATACAATTATTGTAATGTAGGCATATCTACATATAGATAAACATATTCAAAACTTTTCAGGCCTTTTGTGGTTTATTTAACACAAGTATCAGTTTTATTTGAAAGAAAATAACACTTCGTACACATGAACTCTTTATCTTTTATGATTCAAGTCTTTCCAATAACAAATACACACCCACCTACATGTTTATTAAGCAAAAGAATCCTGAATTACTGCAAAATCCCTGTTAAAACTGTAGTATCACTACTGAAAATGTAATTTTATACAGCAACACACATTTAAAATGAAATAGGTGTGAATAATGTATAATGACTCTAGTGCTCGCCAGCAGTGGGAAAAGTGGCAGGTCTTCTGCTGGCCAAGGGCCTTGAAGTTTGGAGTGAGTTCAGTCCAGGCAAGACGGAGGTGACTGCACAGATGATGATCAGTCAGAACAGAGCGATTACGAGATTTAATGTTGTTCAGTGTCGCGAATGCGACTCTCACACACACACACGTGCCAAACGTAGCCAGAATGGTAAATGCCACCTTCCTTGAGTGTGGATACGTGGAGTCCAGCACAAGGGTTGGCCAGAAAGTTTCAGATGTAGTTTCAGTGTGCTGCATTTTAAGCACATCATCCGCTTGTAAATCAGTAAGCTCCAGCTGTAGTTTTGCTTTTTCAAATCTGGAAAGAATGCTTTTGCTTGATCACACCAAATACCATTTGCTTGTACCACAAATGGGTTCCTTACACACAGGACGATGTCTTTTAACATTTTCAAATTCTTGGAATCTCAGCTGGAAGTTTTGAAGAAGCCTGGCCAGAGATGCAGTGTCCCGGCAGCTTAGCAACATTGGGAAATGCAGCATCTACCCAGTTGTCTGAGATTGGCAGCTTTCTGAAGGTGACAACACTGTCTGTCTTCTCTGTAAAAAGGGTTTCAGCTGTAGTAACCATACACTGCTTAATAATGTCCGCATCTGTCAAAGGGTTTTGCCGTTACCCCCACACACCTCAATGAAGTTTCAGTTGCCTTTTCCTGAGCACAAGTAGCCTTTGAAATAATATTTGTGCTCTGAAAAAATGCATCCTTTAATGAAGCAATCTTGTCTCATCTTAAACTGGAAGTCAGTGGGTATTTGTGGTCAAAATCCATGTGCTTTGTTTTGTAGTGTCATTTGATGCACCTGGTTTTAACACCAGCCAGTCTCTGTACAAATTAAACACACTGGTCGACCCTTTGGGGGTTGTGGGAAAATAAAACAGCGTCAGTCCCCTCTGCTTTAAATGAACAGTTTTCAGTGTCAACTTTCCTTTTTTTGCTGCCATTTTTAAACGCGGTGCCGTTACACGTCCTCGAAAGCACCGGCGGTGGGATTCCCTTGGGTCCCCTTTGCTCCTCCTGCAGTTCTTGGGGCTCTTCACTGCTCTGAAGCCGCGATTCCCAGCGGGGCCGAAGGGGTGCAGGGAGGAAGAGGAGAAGAGGGAGAGGCACAGGAGCCCTCTCCTTGTCCCAAGCGTAGAGGGAAGGGAAGAGCAGAGCTGCTGCAAGCCACTGAACTCTTTCCTCTCTCCTGTAAAAATGGCACCTGTGAGGGACGGGGCGGAGGGCACCGCCTGCTTCCTGCAGCAGCCCCGGTTAGCAGCAAGGGAACAAACAGACACTCAGAAGAGGTTTCTCCAAGACAGACAGGAAAGGTGCAGCCTCAGACATTTTAATTGCAGGGTCTGTAACCCAGGGGCGCCATTTTAGATTTTGATGGGGGCGCTGGGTAGCATTCCAGGGGCTGCTTGGCTGTCCGCCCGAGGCAGCCGGGCTCCTGCTGTCAGGCCTTAAATTCAGGTGCACGGATTGGAGCTGGATGAATGTTTGGGAACCCCCCTGTGTCTCCTGCCGGGCTGAAGCGCGAGTCCCTGAGAGCCTCCAGTGGGGCTGAAGCCTGGAGTCCCACACGCTCCCGGTAGGGCTGCCCCCGGTCACAGCGCCTCAGGCTGGCCCCCGGTCACAGCACACCTCAGGCTGCCCCCGGTCACAGCGCGCCTCAGGCTGGCCTGCAGTCCCAGTGTGTTTCCCGGCACGGCTGAAGTCCCCACATGCCTCAGGCGGGGCTGGAGGCCTGAGTCCTGCCGGGGCTGAAGTTCCAAGTCCCAGGGCGCCTCCGGTGGGGCTGCAGCCCCGTGGGAAGTGCACCTGGACTTGGGGCTTCAGCCGCCAGGAATCCGAGCTGCAGCCCTGTGGGAAGCACCTCTGGACTGACGCACCCTTGCAGGGCTGAAGCCCTGAGCCACCATGAGCCCTGCGGTCTGCTGAAAAGGCTCTCGCAGTCTGGATTTGAACCGTGGGCCACCTATTGACTACCCCCATGCAGGCAGCTGGAGCAGTCTCCGCAAAAGTCACAAACAGAATTCATGCAAAACAGTAAGACTCACATACAACATAACAAGGGAAAATCCCCACTTCATCACACCTTGTCTCACTAAACAATCGTAATCCATGCAGCTGTGTGCACGAAGATGGGGACAACCAAATCCTCATGCTTCATGACATAAACAGATCACAGGGGTCAGGAAGGAATCGTTTTCCCATAGGTCAGGGGTAGGCAACCTATGGCACGTGTGCCGAACGCGGCACGCGAGCTGATTT